TTGACTCCCCTTTTCTCTGCCCCCCTTACATTCCTCAACAGGGGCATCTCCTCTTCTTCTTCTTCTTCCTCTTCTACTTCCTTCATCTTTTTTTCCTCCTCTTTCTTTAATCTCTCCATCTCCTCCTCCAACTTCTTCTTCTTTGCCGCCTGTTCCTCCAACAAGGCTTGCTTCTTCGCCTGCTTTAATAATTCTTTCTTCTCCCTTTTCTCTTTCAATATGGCGGCGGCTTGCTCTTCTTGCTTTTTCCTATATGGGGTGGTGCTTGTTCCACTACGTGTGTCAACCATGGTGACAGGTGCACAACTAAGTGACAGTTCCACTCCTCACCACTTACACTTCACCCCCTGACTGACTTAACTAACTGACCGACTCTCTAAGGACCACAAAGCCTTACCCTTCGATCCAGCCAGGTTACCACGGCCCACGGAAGCTTTCGCCACCACTGTCCTTTACAATCCAAACCCAGGTGCCCTGCACCTGCGGTCAATCCCACCTGGCTTTCACTCTGGTTCATGACCCTGTCAACTAGGGTCTCTAGCCTAGACCTATTACTAAACTGTCACTATAGGACTTCAGAGATGATCAGGAGGCATTTAAGGAGATCCCCCATAACTCCTCGGGAATTGTTTAACGTCGCAAACAGGACGACGCGATCAGCAAGTCCTCTCAACACTTAGACAGCTGGCTGTGCAGCCCACAACTCGGATTTTGGGCATACCATGCCACGCTGAGCAGCCCGCCGGTCTATATCGGTCCTTGGGAGGGTTTGTCCTCCAGGTCAGTCAGTCGTCAGACACGGCCTTTAGCCCTACTCAGCCGTGTGGGTTTGTCAACACAGCTCTACGACCTCATACACAGAATTCCTATCACCTGGACAGAAGAGACTCAATGCAGAAAGAAGAGACAGATAGACTCAACAAGTACCATAGGGTGAGTGCACATCCATAGGGCAAGAGGACAGGCTGAAGGCTTGGCGAGAGTATACCAACTCCAGCTTGGTCAACTTTCGTGGTCAACAACTCTGGTCAATGCTGGTCAACGTTTGGTCAACTCGCCGATCAATGCCTTGGTCAGCGCCAGTCAACTCCCTGGTCAACTCCTCGGTCAAAGTCTTGGTCAACGTTGGTCAACCCTCAACTCGGCTATGGCTGCCGACCCCTTTCTTCCTCACCAACCTTCACTTCCCTCTTTCTTTCTCATTGCTTTCTTCTTCCTTCACCCTAGCTATGTCTTTCACTTTCCTCCTTCGTCTCTCCCTTCTTCTTCCTCGGCTATGACTTCTCTCTTCTTCGTCCCTCCTTCCTCCTTCTCCAGGTCTTCTTTCTCCTTCGTTTACCCTATGTCCGAGCTCGGTGGCTATGGCCGCCACTTCCTTCCTTGGACCGCACAACAATCTTGTATCGCTTTTCTCTCTCTCTCTCTCTCTCTCTCTCTCTCTCTCTCTCTCTCTCTCTCTCTCTCTCTCTCTCTCTCTCTC